TTACAAATTCTTTAGATTAAAAAATAACAGTCCCCAGACATTTCCATCTGTTCTCCACTTATCCCCTAGCAAAGTTTTTTGGTTTTTATTATTTTTTTAATCCTAGAAAGAGGCCTGCAGAATTCTGGGAGTGATTACAGTGATTGGATAAACTTGACCATGGACAAGTTTCTGCTAATATTTTCTGAAACCTCAGAGCCTCATGAGTACTATGTTTCTAGAAACAACATCTTCTAATCTTAAAAGGGATTTGTTAAAGATAGGTTTTGGAGTTTGCAGAAAGGGGCATTCTGTTCTGCCTGGGGAAGAACAAGAATAATGGTGAGAAAGCAAGTTAGATTCCCTCCCAACTCATCTTACAGGCTAATTGTGCAGTAGGAGCATCCAGACTTTCTCACAAGGCCCAGAGTTTCCAGCTGTGTTCCCAAATAGGGCTTGAAACTGGCTATTTGGTACCCAAAAGCATTCCTCTTCCAGATGTACATGCAGCTGTGAGAACTCTGGACTGCCAGAGACCAACAAAAAATGAGAGGGTCTTTGAAGCTGGAAAAGTTACTTTAAGGTAAAAAGGTGATGAATTAGTTGAAATGCTGATTGTAAAATGTTCTTTTGCAGTTTAACTACCATGATTTGCAATTTCATCGCTAAATGCTTCACCAGAAAAGGTAGGTCAAACTCAACGTGACTTCCTTTTCCGCAGATTTTTATTTTTAGAAAGATATATGACATTCTTCTGTCCAGGTTGGTTTGGATAACAGAAAAAGTAGAATGGACTTCAAGGCCTTTTCCAGTTTTATAATCCCAAACAGCACCCTCTTCTGCCTGGGAGGCCCTCACCTTCTTACCCACCTGGCAAAATCCTTTTTACCCACCCAGCCTAAGTCTAGCTTCTCTGGTAAAGCTTTCCCCATACTTAAGGTGGAATTAGGACCTTTTTCCTTTGTGTGCTCAAAATCTATGTTTTTTTAGCAGCACTCATTTTAAAATGCAACTATTTGTTCTTGACTATGGCTTCTGCATTCTCATGACTTATCACTGTGCCTCGCACATAACAAAATCAGAATAAATGCTTGGTGGATGAATAAGTAAAGGTTGAATAATGAATTTGAAGAAGCATCAATTTCTACAAATACAGTAGTTTGGCTTAGTGATTCTATTTCAACAAAAATTTGTTTTTATATACTTTATATAAAATCCATCATAGTTCTCTGAGCATTGTTTGTAGCCACCTAAGATCACTACATCTTGCTGTCAATATACACAGGAAACTTCTATAACTAGTCACCTGTAAATTTAGCATAATATAAACGAGGGAGCTAGCTCTCATAACTTCTCTATTCACAAATTAAGCCATTATTATCTGCAGCAGTTTCTGATTTCTATATAGAAGGACCTGACCCAGTGGGGAAAGTCATGCTTTTAACTGTTTATTCCCTGATAGCTCTCTCCTAGTCAAAAGGTTCCTCAAAAAAAGCAAGGAATGATTTAAAGAAAATCTGAAGAATAAACACAATTTCCATCTATTTCACTTAGAGAGCATGATCCAGAAGGCATTTAAAAACAAATTTCTGGGAGGTCATCCCACTTTTGGGTACCCAAAAGAGCTGAGCTTCAATAAACCTATTGCTCTACCTCTTTAAAAAATTCAGGGGAAAAAGGTATACTCGGTGTAATATTATATGCCCTTTTGCCCTTAAAAAAGTCAATTTGTCATGTTTAATGAATATCTTTCTGAACTATGAGTGGATTCTTACATGGCCTAACATAAAACAGTATTCAAACCTATAAATATCCTAATCCTTTAAACACTTTTCCTTATGATTGCATTATCTTGTTAGATAAGTATGACCCTAAACATTATGAGAAACATTAATATGAGAAACATTAATAACAAAACTCAAACTTTACAAATATTAGAAAGTAAAATATAGAAATCTAGCAATTAGTGCAGGGTTCTAATTGGTCTTTTAAAAAGATATTAGGAAATGTCTTGAGCAAAACCTTTCCATATAGTTTAATTTCTTATACAAATTATGTCAAGAATACATGTTTTTAAATGTATTTAGACCCTGAATAATTAAAGCAAAACTTCTGTCATTCCCACTCCATCCCACTCCACCTCAAAATGAAGGGTAGTGCAGGGGGTAAAGATCACTAAAATATCCATTTGTTTTTCACCTCCTCTAAACCCCAATTCTAATATTTTAGTTCTTTACCCTCTAACTTAACTCTTCTAGAAAGTGGGTCAGTCCATTCTAGCCAGCCACCAAGAACAACGATCACTGAACATTATCGGCATGCCCTGCTCCATCTCAGACTCAAATTATTTTAAGATTTTTGCCTTCTCCTTACTTTTTTTCATCTCCCCGGATTTCCCTATGAAGGCACTTTTTTTCACCTACATAGATAAGCAATGCAAGTGAGCACATCCAATAAGTTGACCAGGCTACTGACAGAAAAATGAACAAGATCATTTTCAGATTTCAATCCCATAGGAATTAAGCTGCAACCCCCATTCTTAGATTGCGATTTATTGTAAAGCATTCATTTGGCATTCATCTTATGCCACCTTGCCCTCCTTTTCCCAATGCTTCTTCAAGCATGTCCTTGAAAGTATAATTGATCTTAAGCCCTTTTGTCCTAAGTGCCTGCATGTGCTTAGTAGGTAATGGGGACCTTTCTCCTATACTCTGGTTAAAAGAGAGGGACCAGATTGGTCTTCTACTCAAAAACATCCAGACCATTTTTCAATTCACAATATAATCCATTGTGGAAGGTATGGTAGGCAAATATATTTCATCTCTAGTGTAAAGCTGATCAATTCAGTAGCAGCTGCCTAAAGTGCTGATTTAAGAAACGAGGCTGCATCTGGACTCAGGAGAAACTGCACTGATGGACTGGTGATGTCTGCCACAGGCACAGGTGAGGAGCACGGTGGTATGCATTCTCAGCATTTGCCATCTCAGCTCTAACCACTTAGCCAAAATCTGAATTTCGGTAAGTTCAAGAACTTCTTATCACATCAAGTTCCTTTCCCTAACTGAAGCCTTAGGCCAGGGAAAGACGATTCAGTCTTCCAAATATGTATTTCTACAAGTTTAGTGAAGAATACTTTTCCTGATGAATCAGACTTAAAGGTCAACATGATGAACCCAGCGTTCCCTCCTCTTTTCACTGGC